TAGGCAAGTTTCAGGACATCGACACTGGTACAAACTACACCATAGAGCTTCAGAACGAAGAATCTCTGATGTGCTGACACGAAAGCTGGCGTGCTTGGGTGCAGCAGCTAGCGATCTACTTGCTTGTAATATCCCGAGCAAGTACTCCAGCATGATCGACACACAAGAAGCTCGACGGAGAAGGTGTTCTTCTGCTGGAAGTTGTGATGGGGGCAAGATGCAGACCAATCAGCACTGCTGCACTGAACTGAGCCGTGACAGTGACAGTTGCCTTAGAGAGGTACAAGTGCCCTCGTCACTACTTGAAAAAGTCTAATGGAGAACATGATGTCGTGTCGAAAGATGAACTCGTGCTTGCTGACCGAGGCGACACGTACTACGTACAGACGGAATGCGATCGATCTATCTGAGTCGCCACGAACACATGAGGTTGATGTAGTGTATTAGGCCGTTGTCATCGATTCCGGTGGCTAAGCTGACGATCGCCGCAACACATGGCAAATGCTCATACTGTGCGTGCGTTCTACGACCGACTGCGATGAAGTCTGAATGGAAATACTTACCGTGTGTTCGATGTCAAATGTAGGTCACCTGCACGTAAAGGTGATTACATCGGGCGAGTGTCGACACTTTTACGGTCAAGAAGTCTTTGCATGGCTCGTGATTTGTCGGTGCTATGCAAGCAATCGATGGCGCTTCCGCACACTGTGAGTATGCGACAATGGGCCATCGATCACTTGCACGGGCTATGTCGGTGATGCGATGACTTTTAGTGCAGTGTTGGGTCGGGAAAGCTCCGATCATCGGTGTGTTGTTACGTTTCAGACATCGACCTGGAACGTAGCAGGATCTGCATGTCTCGTTGTTTTGCACGCCTTGGTCACTAAGCTTACACCGCACCCGTTTCAAGAGAGACATCGGCTCCGTCGTATGCCGAAGCCGAAGCGGACGATTTGTCCTTTGGAAGACCTGTACGCACGTCTTCAGTTGCTGTCATGCCGTTGTCTTACTTTTCAATGTGCAATGCAGAGCGGGCGTCGAAGACATCAAACAGCCTATTGGCGCACCATACAATAAACTTAAATGCAAAATCATTGAACAAATTCGTAAAGCTGAAGGTTCGTTGCTCGGTATGAATTGGTTTGTCGGAGCCAGACGAGAGATGTGGAAAAACGTGGGTCCGTTTCGTACTAATGACAGGTAATGAAATGTCAATGAGAATGTCTATCAAAGCGAATATTCGCTCACGAGATTTGCCTTTGTTGGAATATTGTAAGAAGACCACCCTTTCGGAAGAAATATGTGGAGAAATCACCTCTAAAAAACTATTCGGACGTAATGAGTCGGTACACTGCGCTACGGCAAGTATCGGTCATCGTGGCAGCCAACGATGCCACTAGTTACTGAAAGACGTGCGCACAGCGTACCGAGGGGGTTGGTCAATAGGTAGTCGTATCTAGACAAAGGTAATGAAGCTTACGACCGATTATGTCAAACCTGAGTTTGACGAAATGCAGTCTCGATTACATGTATAGATGCAAAGTCGTCAGTTCCTGATGTTTCCTTTGCACGCTGCCGTAAGCATCTGTCGATGCTGTTTCGTTTGAATTACTTACACTATCATCAGTCTGAGTGTATCGTTGCTGTAAAACGCTTATTCACTCAAGGGCTGAGAGCTCATTAGAATATCGATGTGCATAAGGTTATTGCACCCACGAAATGTCGTGAACAACAAGCGACTAAGCACGCAACAATAAGCAACAGCCAAGTTCCAGAAGTCGTGAAAAACACAGTCCAATGACTCAAGTGCACAACTCAGATCAGGCATGGGATACTGGTGTCGACGGATCACTTGTTGTGCACGTACTGATTCAAATATTTGGCCATGCATAAACTAGCAATGTGTTGTCGACGTGTCCCTGAATCACTTTCTGCAGTACTTGACCTAAGATTCACGGACGCTGCGCGCTGCCCCTACCGCATATAACCGAGCGAAACGTAGTAGGGAGCATGCTACGAGTCCCACATTTTTAGACCACAAAATTTGAAGACTTTGCACGCTTTCAGGCCGCCATCAGACGTGGTGCATGTAAGAGTACGCCGTCAGACATCGAAGGTTGAGGTGTTTTGTGACAATCACTAATATGAGTTGGTGACGATGATGTGAGATGCATTGCAATGCTTCCGTAGCTCTTCTCTAACCCGCGAGGTAGGGCTTCTGGATACAACGGTCTGTCCGCGCCATCATCAATTTACGTCGAGCAATTTCAGACGGGACATGGGCATGCATAGACCGAGTAGGATTGCGTCCTTGGAGAGCCGTACGAAGTGTTGCAAAAGAAACGCCTCGGCAGGCTGATTTTGTAACATGCACGTAGCTCATGTGGTATGGTGTGGCAGCACCATGCGAGAGGTCACTGGTTCGATATCCAGTGACTGCAATAAAAATTTAAAACCTTCGGGTACTGGTGTGCCGGGGTTCACCAGCACTGTCCTGCCAGACAGTGACGTCCCCCACATTTAGCAAGTTTAGGTGTTTGTTGGAAACACACCGCCTAGATTTAGTAATGTGCGACTAGACGATTAGTAATGCGCGATGTGGCGATTACTAATCTGCCCAATACCATTAGTAATGCGCAATGTGGCGATTACTAACGTATAGGCAGAAAGAATTCAGTAGGCTTAGACTAGCAACAGGAGTTTGTGAACTAAGGACCTAAATATATTCACTTTGCATTTTGCCAACTTCATCTAGAATCGATCACTTCCTTTAAAAACGACATCACATTGCTAAAAACAAGGCGCTTCGTTGCTCGTCTGTAAGAACGGTGTTTAAATCGACATCATGTTACTAGCTCTCGTCGATTGTGTAGGATTAAGAGTCGTACACTCGAGTACGTTTTACCTGAATGCGGGCATGTTTTGGCACTACATTCGGATTTCGTAGCAAGTTGCTTCGGAGAAACTCACTTATCCAAGCCTGCAAGATCGAAAGAAGGGGCGGCGCGCAAGGCAAGTATGAGAAAAGTTCTGGCGAGGTCGTTAGATCGATACTGGGTTTGTGATGGTGGGACGATCGTCATTTACTTGGCCCATCATTCACTTCGTTTCGTCATCAACTCCTATCCCGATATAGGTCCGGCTCTTTGTATAAGTTCGTGGCTACGTGACTCGTTTCCACAACAACGATATTCGTAGCGTCGTTTTGAACTGGACTCGCACCCATGTGGCACCTTACACACCCATTTGTGCCATCTTTTGCACGCTGCACGACTTAGTGTGGAGTTCCATACACGGATTGGAAACGCCTTGGCTGGAAACAGTGGCGGGCTCAGCGACAAGACGGTCCGCATCTACGCAGGTAGCAGCAACGCAGCATTGGTGACAAGGCTCTGTGCGCTAAGGAATTGGACGCTAGTGTGCGATAGGTCAATGACTACTGTAGTAAAGCCAAACGCTTTGATTGATGTGGCACCTTTGAACACGTACATACAAGTCCTCACTCTAAGCACCATGCAGCCGCGAGTGCACAGGATTCAAGAGCATTTCTGGCAATACGTCGGTAGGAAAGGAGTGCTCCAAGTTGCTATAGCTGTGTCGCGGCCCTTTATTGCTACACGAAGGGTCTCAACACAGCAACAAACGACCGCCCCGATCAATCAAGGAATATAGCACGGTCGGAAGTTTATCGTTCGGCAAACAAAGCTTGCGTTCGTCACCTGTTGACGCAACGCGGCAGCAAAGACGAGATCGCTACAACGTGGAGCATCCTTGAACGAGAGCGTCGGCGTGCGTATAAGCCATCCATTCAGACCAGCGACAAGCGCGTTCGACCTTATGGAGTGTGTCGGTAAACGAGACTGTAATCTCCGGCTCAATGAAGTGTGGACTTAGACGTTGTCACACGACCATCTGAGCGGTCGCAGTTGCTGCAATAACGGCAGCTGTGCCTTCTTCTTGTCGCCTGACTCGATTTTCCCATATACCATATGATGTGGTCTCGTCACAGTCCGTAAACAAACCGCTCTTTCACCACACAGGTCTGCCGTGAAATACAACGGCTTCAAGACACGCACCATCGACAGTACCATATGTGAAGGCATTTTCTACACGACGTGGCGCATTATGGACAAAGAGGCGTCGCATGCATGGGACATTTTCCACACGACGTGGCGCGTTATGGACATAGGAGTGTCGCATGCATAGAGCTTGAATGTAGAGGTTGTTGCGCCACATCGTCACGTAAGGCCACCGGGTCTCGTACCGTGTTCACACATGCAGAATGGTTCACCGTGCTTTGAAGTTTTGCAAAGAATTAATCTCTGGCTGAGACCACTTTCGAATTTGCATCCAGCATCACACACGACTCCACCTCAACCCCATCCATCAGCACGATGAAGCTCGCCGCTGGTCTAGTCCTCTCTGTCGTTGCCATTGCGGGTGTCTCCGCCGAGTCTTCCGAGACGCTGACCATCCCTTCCGGACCGACACCGACGACGGACCCTGCACAGTTGACAGGTCTGCGTCCTCAGAATCTCTACTTGAACGGACAGCAGCCGACTACCCCTCCAAGCAATTCGGATAGGACTCGATTTTCCCCGGTCGTTCAAGAGAAACCAGACCCAGAACGTGAGCATGACACCACGAACACGTTGACCATTCTGCCTGGCAGGACGCCGGTCTTGACTCCTAAGCAATTGGAAGGACTGGGTCCCCGGACACCCGCTGGTGACAACCCTAGGCTGAGGAAAGCTATGGAAGGGCTGGGCAAACCCCCAAGCTCTGCCAGCCCCGACGAGCTTGTCTACATTGACCCCCACAAGGTGAATCAGCTGGACCCGAAGACTGGTGGCGCTAAGGGTCTTGAGGTGTATCCAGGCAAGCTTGGCAACAACAACGGCGGCGACCTTGATTAGAACCATGGGTGGACGAAGCGAGCGACGAGCGTGTGTCAACGCTGTCGTGGAAACACAATGTGCCGACTTGAAAGGGGCGACGGCGGATTCGACATGCCTTGCGTTACGGCGCATGGGCAGGTGTGCGGCAGTGTGGTCATGCCTACAGCGATTACTGCTAGAGCTTATTACTTGATAAGCACATTGACAATACTCGTTAGCTTTCTTGCTGTACACACGTGCATTTACAGTTCCTTGGTGTTCGCATGATAAATTTGAAGGCAAACAACGCTGGCAACATCAAGTAAGCCACATTCTGTCATCATTTCTCTCATTGAGCGCGAATCAAAGCTGAAAAGCTCAGCGTCTTCCTTCGACATCTGACAGACGCGATAGACATGTCGGCTATGAGGGTAAGCATAGGATGTGTGTCAAAGTCCAACATTGTGGTCTTGCATGACAGGCGGGGGGGGCTGAAGGGACCCCTTCCGCGAATCCGATCGCTAAGCCTGAATTCAGATACCATGTCAGTCGTACACAATCACGTTTTCGGCCACCTCAGTGTACTTTACTGACTACGGTTGAGGCAACGGCCTGTGTAGATTCTAGATTGCTTCCTTGAACGTAGAACGCCTCCGCTCTGACATGTTGACGATTCCGGTTGCGGTATCGATAGCTCTGTCTTGACTTCTTTTCGAGGTCAATACAAGTGTGCAAATAGTTTTGTTAGCTTCTGGCAAGCATAAGCTTCCGCTGGTTGCCCAAATTATGGGGCTGCGGCAAAGTCGTTCGCGGCAAACTTTTTACAGAATCCAAATTTCTTCGATGAATGAACGTCGAATAGTAATGTGATAGTTTCTACTGTTTGTTCAGCAAATCATTTCAAAAATAAAGGACAGCCAAAAAATACTACAGGATGGAAAAATAAATGCAATCGATGCTCGCGGGAAAATGTATGTACGGGCGACGTATACTGCGTTCGAACACACACTTGCTCAGGATCGCACCGAAAAATAATGAATCCTTGTCGATAGATATGCATTTTGATGCAAAGGAGATCAAGCCTTCCCGGCGATCGAAGGTGTCAGATCGGCTTTGATCCAGCACTTACTATGATCAACTGATAGTTAATGACGCGCCAGTACCTTCGACTCAGGATGGAGATACTTAAGCTGTACGACGCGAGCATCAGTATGCTATACCAGCGCTCAAAGACCGACTATGCAAAAATTGTAGTCCAATGGAATAGGAGTGTATTGCAATACGTGTTTGGTGTGGACTGAGAGCATAGAGGGACCCACAGCAATTCGCATGATGTTTTCACTGCAAATAGCTCTATTGTATTTATTGTCAGCATCGATACTACAATCGACAGGTATATTATCATACAACTACCACCCGTATGAGCATTTCGATTGTGATGACAGTGACATTCCATATGCATTGCGCACGCGATCGACGTAGTTTACGCTTTTTGTGCCCGCGAGCATTCGCTTGTCCTCATACACATTGCTACAAAGTTACTGTTAGCTTTTAGAATGATGTCGAAAGCCACCTCACGTCGGGCAAGAAGTACCTGTTATTGCGTTCGGTAGGCGCCAACATGGCATTGCGCTGTCTCCTCCATCTCATACCTACGATGTTGCCAAGGCTACACCTACGTGTTATGGACATTGGAAACCATTAAGGGCAAGAAGAAACGTGGCCTTACAATCAACGATAAACAGCGCTGCCAGGTTACATCTGAATTGTCAATGCTTCTTAGTCGTTTGGAAAAAATGCATGTCAATGGACATTGATGAATCGGTATCAATGAATGAAATAGGAGAGGGTAGCACCAATAATTACGTAGATATATACAAATGATTCCAGGCATGCGTCACTCGGTCGTCTAGTATACATCTGTGGTATTTTTTCATGTTGCGGGGAAGAGTACATTGTCTTTGAATAATATCACAATCTCATTTGTCTCCGTACAATAGACGAGAGGCTACAGAAGCGCTTTTGGACCGTGTAAGCTTACGATCGCTTGTATGCGTTCGGTGTAACGAAGTTTGTCGTGATGCTGAGGTTTTAAACACACTACTACTACCTCAGCTTAGTCGCAACCATGTCACTTTCACCTAAAGGCCAAAGACACCAGGTTAAAGACGCACTTTTAGTCTCGAGCCAGCATAACTATCCTCATGACAAGATCATCCGAAACGATACTGCACATTTGTTTTCGAGAACCCTTTGAGGAAGCTCAAAAGGCTTACATTAAAGAGACAACTTCCTCGGCATGTGTGCAACTTGATCATGAAGTTACGGAGCCGAACCTGTCGCTGGAGATGCACATGAACACTTGATTCGGAGATGTGCACGGATTGCAGATACCAAACTGCTTTTCCTATCAGTGCAAAACGCGATCTCTTTGTCCGACTTAGCTACGATATATGTCCGCACCTGCACTTTTGTAGGTAGACAGAGTGTATGCAAACATTGGCAAACCTAGGCAGAGTCTCCTATAGCCACGACATCATGTTTGTGCGCATGTTTTGGGTGTTTGTAGCAAGGAGCGATACAATTCAACTCGACCCAATAAATGCAGGAAGTGGCACGCGTGATGGCAGGTCTTTGGAGACGTGCATCATGTCCACGTCAACGTCAAAAAGGAAGAGCTGGTCTGGTCGCGGCGAGAGCGCATTGTCCTCAAAGATGTACAGCCAACTACCGCCACTCGACCGCTTCTACTTCAATGGTCTAGTCGTTGCGGTAGGTGCTCCCGACTTGAAGCCGAGGAGATCAGGCGACTATAGCGCACACGTATCAGCAACACGAGCACTTACACGACTTGTGATAGCGTGTACGTTTCAGCCCGCAAAGTACGACAGTTCCTGTCCAGGACAAGTGGAAAGCATCGACAACGGCCACAACACATGTACGCCACACAACATCCGCAATAAGAAAAAGCGTTTTATATTGCCGCGTTCAGTTCCACGTCGAGGGCGACGAGCCACAGACGACGAGCGAAAAGCAGAGACAGCGCGTGGATATTATCCAGCGATACCGTCCCCTTCTTTGCCCCGTCGCGTCAGACATTGCAGACCCCACGAGCTACAAAAGTGTAGCCATCGCCACGGCCACAGCCGCCGCCGCCACAAGCGCAGTGAGCTCCGGCACCGACGACGCGCTCGTGCCGTCGCTCGCGCTGATGCCCGCCGCGTTGCCGCCCGGAGCTGCACCGGCCGCACCGGCCGCGCCCGACGCCGCCGAGTCGCCCGCAGTAGTGCACCCGACCGCGACACACGCCGGTGCGCGGGGCGGCACAGTGGCCTTCGCGCAGGGCGCAGAGCCCGTCGACCCGTGTTTGTCGGCCGCGTTGGGCATCGACACGCGGCTGCCTTCGTTGCCCTGGTACGTCGTGGCCGTGACCTGCGTGCCGCTGAAGCAGATGGCGCCCGTGTTCTCCGCGTCGACCTCCATGTGTCCGGCTGTGACCGTCGGCGCCAGGACCACGATCTGACCCGACCCCTGGGCGTCCACCTGCGCCTCGTTCGTGGCCGAGAGGCTCCCGACGTTGAACTGGAGACTCGCCGAGCCCGACGCGTCGAGCTGCACCTTGCGCACGCTCACCGACGCGTTGGCCGCGTCCACGAAGATGGCGCTCGAGCCGCTGGCTTCGACCTGGAGCTCAGCCGTCGTGCTCGTGGTCATCAAGACGCCGTCTTCCACGACGACGACGGCCGAGCGCTTGCTCTGAACGTCCGTCACGACGCCCGTGGACGCGAGAATGACTTCCGTCAGCAGGTGCCCCGTAAGCGACGCGGTCGCGTTGCTCAGGATGAACACGTGCAAGTCGCTGTCCGGGTCATTGACGTCGTTGACGTCGTTGACGTCGTCCTGGTCGTAGTTGTCGTCGTTGTCGTTGTGGTCGTTGTCATTGTCGTTGTCGTTGACGTCGTCGTGGGCGACCGACACGGCGTCCACAACGGCGCGCGAGTCGCCCGAGATGTTCACGTAGCCGAGCACTCCCGTGGGCAGACCGGTCATGTGGCGCACGTAGACGCGGCCCACGAGGTTCAGGTCGATCGAGTGTATCGCGTCGGTCGTCGTCGTGGCTGAGATGGTCCACTGCTTGACGAACGCCACGTTCTCGACGCTCGACGTCGACGCCTGCGCCGTGCCGGGGGTGACGGTGAAGCGGCCGGCGGCACAGGCGAGCGAGGACGACGCGACGAGGAGGAGGCGCTGGAGGTTCATCGTACCGACTCGACTGCGATAAAGTCAGAGAGAGAGAGTGGGGGAAGAGGGACAGCCGGCGCTTGATACAGAGCTGACAAGTTCAGGAATGAATGGGACCGTCGCGAGCGCTGCTGCGGGTCGAGGCGTCGGACACGTGCGCTCGAGTGTTTACAGGCGCTGCGAGTGAGTCCCTCGTGGCGGCTCGCGAGCTGTCGGTCGACCGATCGCCTGCCCGGCGCCGTCTGATTGGGGCTCGCGGGTCTGCGACGGCCGCCGCTGCGAACGAGATGGGCAGCTTTGCAGCGGGACCGCCCGCGCTCTGGCTCGAGGCGTGCGACAGCGGCTGCTACGTGGGAAGATCAGCTGGCTACGTGCCCTTCTCTGGCGCAGCGTGTCCACAAACGGCCGCCCGTTCGCAGACTTGATTACCATTGAGTAGTCTCGAAGGCAGACGAGCGGGTCTATGTGCGGAGCCCATCGCGTGCAGACCAGATGGTCCGTGCCCCGTTTGTTAAACTTGAAGGGTGAGCGTTTGGCAGAGACAGTGTACATCGCAATAGAAACGTGTGGCAGATACAGTGTACAGAGCAATAGAAACGTGTGGCAGATACAGTGTAGCGTGAAAATCCTCTGAGCGTTTGTGGACACGGTATCGATCGACCTCTTTGTTGTTACTTCAATCGACGCGCCTTTCGAGAAGCATGTGCTCGTCATGTCTATCTTCGCGAACAACTGCTGTGCTTCGAGAAGACGACGCTGGATTTCGTACCGGTGGGAACGACAGAAAAGAGCGCTCTCAACAACGGCTGACCACGATTTAAGTTCCCTCTGAAGTAACGGTTCGCAGGACCATTGATGGGTGACGTTTTTTCACGACGAGTAGCTCCTCGTCACGTGGATTATCCACATTCGAGACGACAAGCGCAGCGCTAAATACGTACACAGACATTGTCTCACACGTAAACAGGTGCAAGTTGTATTGACTTCTTCTAGAAAACGTTTGCCCTTCATACATACACCGATTGAACACACGTTCATGCAGCAGACCACTAGCTTGCGAGTCGAAGAAGCAAAAAGAAGAGAGAATGCAAACTACCGTTCGACGTGTACTCAGCCCTTGCACATGTTAGTTCACGGCAAGAGCGACTACAGCCGTCCCGTGCAGTGAGTTAGTTCCCCAATAGGTTGCCCGTAGCGTCCATGATCGCCTTCTTCGCTCCACCCATCACAGCCTTCTTTCCATTGTCAATGGCGTTCGTCGTCTCGTTCACGAGGTTGTTCTTCGCGTCGTCGAACGCCTTCAGCGGGTCCACGTTGTCCTGGTCGCGGTCGTTCTTCCTGCCGTCAGTGTCCTTGTCGTCGGTTTCATACGTTTCTTCGTCGGCAGCAACGTCCGTTTCGTTGTAAGAGCTAACAAGTGCCTTGTACACTTCGACGTCCTTACCCACATCTCCCGAGCCGGTCGCGGCCTCTTCCTCCTCCTCCTTCTCATCAGCTGCAGCACTAGCTTCGGCTTCCTTCAGGTCCTCCTGCTTGCGCTTTGGCACCGGAGTGAACTCGGAAGGCTCGCGCGGAGGCGCCTTGGACAGAGAGCACGCGGAGGTCCCGTGAGCACCAAGACCGTCGCCGTAGTTCGGCATCGAGACGGATCTCTTGCCCGTAACCTCCGGCAGAGCGGCTTTCACCTTGTGCGCCGACAGACAGATCTCGGAATCTTGCGACTCGGATTCCAGCTCGAGCTTACCGGCGATCACGACGGGGCACAGCATCTTGATGCTCGTGTCTCCAGACGCCTCGAGCTCGAGCTTCTGCCACAGATCGAGGCTCTTCGCACGGTACTGCATCCGGCCACCGCCCGTGACCAGCGCGTCGATCTCGCGCACCTTCACCGCCGCGTTCGGCATCGAGACGTACAACGTGCTCATACCAGTGACACTGATCTTCTGCCCGCGGGTCGAGCTTCTCGTCAAAAGCACATCGTTCGTGACCACGACGTCCGCTGTGCGGCGAGTGGCGATCTTCGTCACTTTGCGCCGGTTCGACAAAAAGATCTCCGTCAGCAAGTGGCCGTGGGTGACGTCGTTGTCGAGCGACACACTGAGCTGTTTCTTCGTGTCCCCGAACACGTCGTCAAGACTCGTCAAGTCCGGGAGCAGTCCGTTCACTTCGTTGGTCACCGTAACGGCTTCGACAATGGTCTTCGTGTTGCCCGTGACATTGACGTAGCCCACGACGTCCGACGGGATGTCACTCGAGTAGCTCACGTACACAGTGCCCGCGAGCGACAGGTCGAGCGACTCGATCTCCGTCGCGTCCGACGAGGACAGCGTCCACGACTTGGCATAGTTGGCGTACCGAGAATTCATCTCGGACCTCGTCGTTCGGTCCCCATCGACCTTGAAGTCAGCCAACGCGATCGTGGAGAAGACAGAGGCCGCAATGACACACACTTGCCAGCCAGAGGTCCGCATGGAAGTCTCAATGGACGACGAAGGAGCGAGAACGGGTGGACGGGAGACTTGGGGGTCGCTCGGCTGATTCGAGAATGAGCTCTGCGCTGATCGTCGCTCGATCGACCGACCGACCACGCGCTCGAACGTGCTCGGCGAGAAGACCTGCCAGTGTCACGAGCGAAAGCTGACACTGGCCGACGAGCAGAGTCGTGCTACCGGACGTGGCGCGTAGAGAGCTGGCGGGCGGCAGGTTTATGTTCGCCAGAGGCGCCCGGATGCCTCTGGACCAGATGCCGATCCTGACGCTGCTCTGCTGAAATCCACGAGATCAGCTTTCGCGGCACGGACGGAGCACCAGGTGCGGATGCGCGGGAGGACGTTTCTGGATTCATGGCGACCGCGTTCGCTGCGTAGAGACTGCCGACGGACGGCCATCGCCTCGTAACGCAAAGCTGCGTTCTCTTCGTGCAGGAGGTGGCGATGGCGCCGATCACGCGGTTGCATATAGCTGCAGGAGCCTTTCAGTGCGACACACCGAACCCAACCGATCCCATGGATCTCCCTCTCGCTGCCCATCTTCGGCAGACGACAGACATAGCGTCCAATGTCTCAGTTTCGTGCTCTCTCAGCTCTATCACCAGATGCGGCGTCGGAAGATTCTCCGGCAAATCAGTCGAGACCGTATGTGGATCCTCCTTTCGTCCGCGCACCGACGAGCGACGACCGTTCTCGCTTGAACCTGCGACACAGGGGGAAAAGGTCAGCCGACAGATGCGACCAACATGGTCCTGGCCGCAGTGCAAGCGGCCACACCGGTCTCTCGATCAAAGTCGCCCCTCGTGCAAAGGCTGGCGCTCGTTCTCTTCGGACTGCCCTAATAGCCAGACCCAGCGAGCGCGACGTCGTGCGACCTCACGACGACTGCGCGAAGCAATCGAGCAGAATATTGCTCCCGATCTCGATGCCGTGTCTCGGCTCCAACAGCTGCCGGGGTCGAACGTACTGCAGTTGATGTTCCGGAAGAAGCATTCACGACGGTGTGGTTTGTCGTCGGGTTGAGAACGCGTTGCAACAACGCGAGTCGCTGTCCACGAGAGCAGCGTCTGGCCGTGTGTTTGATCGCTGACGATCTGATCGATCCGTGCACTATTTGGTGAGCTAGCGGGGGCTTGAACTCGTTCGATGGCAAAAGAGTATCCGTAAAGACTGCGCAGTCCGTGAACTCCAAGACATGCGAACTGTAGTAGGGGCCCAGAGGTTGCCTGCACCTGTCTAGCGAACAGCAGTCATCGCTTTTTTGCAGTAAGCCTTTGGCATGGAGACAGCTAGCGGAGTGCGAGAAGGATCGTAAACGTCGAGGGCGATCAAAGAGAAGTAAACATCATGGCAAACGCCGGCAAAGAGCCCGCAACCTTCTGCCAAGCTCGAGTATGCGTTGGGCGGCACAATTCATCGGTCAATGGATCGGTTTACTCATGAGCCGCATCACGACAATCAAGTCTGCTCTTCTTCCGCAAAGCAAGCAGTATTCCGTCCGTTGCATGTTATCCAGAGCGATGCAGGAACCGGATGCATGTTGTGCGGATGTGGCAATGGGCGTTTACAGATTCTGCGGACTTTGCCTTTCCATTCAGTCGTGCGAGTCTGGACCTACGCGTCCTCCTCCGTGCTCATTGCAGTACTAGTTCTATACATGCTACCTACGCCGCACAAAGCAACTGGAGCGAGGGTGCGTAGTAGCGTAGTTGTGTTTCTACTAGCTAAACCAACACGTTTGACATCCTCGCGTTCGTCTCGTACTCCGCAGAAGTGCACGAGATGAGGCGGACGAGGCGGTCTGACAGCGCTCGCATGCCGTTCTGGTCCTGTGTGATAGAAACAGGGTCGAGCGAGCAGAGCACCCCATGCCATGTTGTTTGGAACAGCCACTCGTCCTTTTCGACACGAGCTTTGGGTAGCTCACGCGTCTCAACGTTTCTGCTGCTCGTCTGCTTGGCAGCCACATGCAAGCCAGAATACTGCCTATCGAGTGCTGTGCCATCGAGTTTGATGAGCATTGTCCGATCTTACGCCCGACCCGTTCACTCGTTTCTTTCGGTAAGTCTCGCGTGTGCCGGTCCCACCACCTCAGAAACGGCGGCCTGTTTGCCCATCCATCTTCCTCACACATCTCTTCGGCCGCCCAGATCAACCGCCATGCCGCAGCTTAGCATTGACCATCACCAGCGGACTCAGCCTAACAGCGCAGCGGCCCTCGGAGCGCCAGCCACTCGAAACTAGAACGAATGATGCGCGAGATAAGTGAAAGATGGCTTTCGTGCGTGGAAAGCTAGAAACAAAGACGATGCAGCATGCGTTCATTCGAAGCCATGGCGCCACTTCCTAGCCACACCGGTCATCACGAGCGATCCGGTTTTGAGACGGGCACCATCTGAGCTGCGCAGCTTCTCGGAGAAACTGCGACGCCGCTTTTTGCTTCACCCATCGTGAGAGCTGGGAGCCAGTGAATAATCAGCAATACCGCAGGGACAAGTGCAAAGCTTCGCTCAGCACCACAAGCTGCAAAGGGCGGACCGTGTTTGCCAACATGCACATGAACTTGTAGGCAAGCAAACGCTAAGCGAGTGGTGCTTACACACCCCTTCACTCGTCGTTATTGGAAGCTGAATTCGATACAAGCGACACATTTGGCGCAACTAAAGCGACGAGCGGTACAATCGATGGTTGCGTTGTACACAGTGTGAGTGAGGCAGCTACTGGCTTGGTTTTACACTGGCAAATGCCCACATCAACATCAGCTAACGTCGATGACAAAAGCCTCGTGATCGTGTAGAACTTTAGGAGAAGGCTAGTGGTTGTGTGAACGTCACGTCGACAAAGGCCACATCTTTGGTATCTCTCCATCAGCACGAACATTTTCAGAGATGTCGGGGGACGCTTTCCGTCGAAAGCGGCAATCGATATGTCGGACGTCAAGCGTCCACGCATCTGGAGTAAGAATGACCATGGAAAGAAGTGTAGCTCCAATTGATCGACTCGCATGGTACCCTTTGCGAGGACTTTAGTGCATTTTGTCATGGGCCTTGGAGCAAGTACAGCAAAAGACGGTGAGGCATCGCCTGTTTCCGACCTAAAATGACGGGTCACCGAAGACTTCTGATTGGCACTATATGGGCTCGCCAGATCTCTTGATTGGCTGCTATAGCTCATGACACAAGTTCATCCGTCACCAATCGATACAAGAGGTGCAGTGAGTATCCGGAGAGATCTCGTGCTTATTTCTGTACCGGAAACTGGTCCGTTCGTTTCGCTCTGGCTTTGAGCTGATTATAGATGCAGCTCTCCATTCGGTTCACTGTTGTATAGCAGACGGCAGGCGCTGCATTGCGTAGCAACGATGAGGAGGAGTAGGGGAGTTTCATGATCATCTATTGACATATTAATGTGGACAAGAGGTCTGAAAAATCCTGAGCAGGATATGAGGGGTGGGAGCGGTGTGGGAAAGGGAGCGTAGCAACGATGAGATGGTGTCGCACCTTACGATTCCAACGCAGGGTTTCCGTCGTCCGCCAGTGACACTGCACCGCTAGACTGTGTATTGGCGTGGCAGTGGGCTACCCGATCGTGGAAGGTCAAACGTTGGTATATGTACGATTGACTATCGCAATAGAAAACGTAGACTTGGTCACGTACGCACCTTTAGCTCGAACGCGTGGTTCGTCCAGCGGAACGTCACATCAGCTCCAGCGACGGTCAGGTAAGCAGACGTCCCACAAGCAGAACTTGCAAGTGGCAATCGTTTGCACGCAAAGCTGACAGGAGGCACTCAGCATCTCACATATTGTGGCTCGACCGTCGACAACATCCATGATGCGTGGAGCATTTACACGCGCTCGAGCTGCAAGGTCGTCTAAAGCGCTGCACTTGGCGCATATAGCGGGGTCAGAGTTACGCGGCTTCGCACGGCCACGGACGTCCATTTTGCAATGAGCCGTTTATTCTATGAAAACTGCGAGCTTCTCCCGGGTATGATGGCTCTACCTTGATCAATAGCATCATCTCTCATCCCCATGGCGCTTTGCTCTGCGCAAATGGTCGCGGCATCTGTACTTACCACACCATAAAATGAGCACACAACGCCCGCTCGTAGTTGTCGAGGGCGCGGCACATTGTACTAGAAATGCGTACATTGACTGATTGGCCTAATTTGATTGCAACTTCTTAGAAGACGTCAAGCATTTTCCCAACTGAGCTTAATATCGTGTGCCAACATGGTCTTCCATAACACGTAATCAAACCACTTTGCAACGATAAGCGCCATGTGAACGAACATTGCCGACATGTCGATCTGCTCGGACGGATCCGACGCTAAGCGCCCGTAGCAATACAACTCGGGGCGGTTGTGTCGGATTTGGCTTAGATTTTACAGATGCTACAATCCATTATCAAACGCTTATCGCTCGATTAAGCATTCATAATCGGAATGCCTTGCGCAAGCACTGCACGATAACAAGACATGGCGGGGCAGCAGTCAGGCCACCCTCGAAAATAGCTGGTTGCTCAAGCCCATGTGTACCTTATAGTAATCAAAGACGCTGCGGAAGGACGATGCATTTGGGTGACCATGTTTGCTACCGAAACATCTAGCGAAGTTAGCCATCGGGCTGTAAAACGGGGGTAAACAATTCCATCTCATACATATACCTTGATGAGAAAGAGGAGCCGTGTTGCGCAAGCCAGCAAGCCTCATTGGCTACGTGGGTGGGCAATTTCGCATGCGTGTATGGACAGTTGCTTATGCAGCGGCTTTCATTGCCTCATATCTAATCTATAGAGTGCGTGAATGTAGGAGGAGCACATTCTAAGTTGCTAAGGTCTGCTGCTGTTTGGCTACTTACGTTTGGTGCAAGTAAGAAGGACGTGAGCATTTATCTCAGCAGGGATTAGGCTGTGACAAGAAGACGTTGATCGATGGGCATTGATCAGCCAGTAGGCCCGCTTTATCTTTTTGCACGCATAATGGAAAACGCCGGCATGTGAGAGACATACGAATTCGGCACTCGAGATGGGCTGTCGATATGTGATACGCTGTTACCTGGTGCATAACCACCAGTAGCTCGACAAGATCCACTCTATCTTTGCCGACGGCGACTTGCAGCTACGTTCGCATGTAGGAGCTGGTATGACAGGTCCTCGGTCAGTCCATTCATCACGCAGGACTTCATCTCCAGCTTCTTGCATATCATGTCGGTAGTGCGATGTGAAAAGACAGACAGAGATTATTGAGGACTCAAAGGTCAGTAGAAGCATGCTGATGCGGATACGCCTAAGCAATGTTTTACACTTTGTGTAGTTATGTTGGTGAGTTATGGAACGTGGAAGGCCCGAACGATGTTGTATTTGCATTCAATCATTAGCGGTAGATGTGCTACAAATGTCGGTGCATACCTAAAGGAGCTGTGTGCTGATGCTTGACACAAGTTGGGTTCCGTGATGCCACTGCATGCCCGTAGTAGTGCTGTACATCGCTACGCTCACTCTTTGTTCCCTGATCTTGCAAAACCATCTTACAGCCAGCGAAAGGAGCTTTTCGCAGTAGCCATCAATACAAGCAGACTGCCCACTACTGCGAAGCCGAAGGCACTCCGCCATTAGCTCGTCGAGACATCTGATCCCTAGCATCGCAAATGTTACTGTTTCGTTTGTGTAAGCTTGGCAAGTCGGACAACTTGGTGCAAGGGACATGCGTTTGCGTTCAAGGTTCAGTGTAATGCGTAGTGCAGTATTCCAATGTGGCGGACAAACGCACGTATGTAGATTGAAGCGGCAGTCGGATCAAGACCAACGTTTTGACGGCCTCTGGCTTGCAACTGCGACAACAGATCAACTGAACTTGTTGTGTGTGACCTGTTTGTTGGCTTACTAAACAGAAGCACTACAAAGCAAAAGCTGTTCACTGAGCGGCATGTGATCCGTGTTCTTCGTGCGAGCACGATTTTTGTGGGAAGGATAAGTTTTAGTGAGGATCGATTGCACATGCGGACTGCCAGTGGTCTACTAGTTTACAACAAACCGCGTCTTGATCTGGTAAGTGGTGGTATCGTTGAGGCTCATGCATGAGTTTGTAATCTGAGCCCCGGTACCTCACTGTTCGTAGAGCGAAGTTTCATGACGTCCGTCTACATCTTATGCCGTTGAGCTTAAATGCAGACTCGCTATTGCAGCTGCATAGTCCTAAGAACAGCTCTTGCGGTCGCGACCAAAGCGTTACGCTCGACAATTTCTTGCAAGACGCACGAGATTTTCACACACGTGACGTCGAGGCTTGTCCAGAATTACATTTCGCACGCACTGTAGCGCTTCGTAATTGCTGCATCCCCTCTGCTCTGCAGAGTAGTCGATAAGATAGATACCGCCCAGCACGCGACTGCGTCGAAGCGAGGTTTGTCCTGGCGTTAGTGTGCCTGTCCCCGATATTACTCTCCTAGTCACTTACGCACATACGTGCGGCAATGCGCGTAGAAATTACGCAGGGCGTCAAACAAATTTTGCAACGGTAAGCACATGAAGCAATTTGGCCCAGCCGAAGCTCATGCGAAAGATAGTCATTATGATTCGCATGATATTCCGGAGCGTCATACCGTCACGTGTGTTTACGCTCGCACGATCTACGTAACGCCTTTTATCTGGAACCGAAGGGCATTGCTTTTAGGTCCGCCAATTCAGCCACTTCATGCAAACATATCGACCCGTATGGACTCGAAGTCACGGTGGTAGTATGGATCGCTAGACTCTACTTGCGTCGCATCATAGCATCTCATGGCACTCGAGTTGCGACATGCGAATCGCAGCTGATTGTTCAATGAGCACTGGACGAGTTGTGTAATGCATGCCTGAGGTCACCCGGTAGCCCAAGTTTGTTTCATGTGACATCACGTTATAGCAACCGTCTACTTGCCCACGCAATAGCAATCTACTCAACTGATTGCACCGTGTGTCCGTTACGGTCCATTGCTTGTCCGAAGGACGCGGCAATCGCAACAATCAATCTAGACGCCAGTTCATCATGCGTTGGCAAATCCACATTGGCCCGTAGCCGTTGCAGCAAGTGCATTTCATGCTCGGTCCATCCCTGAGCCGAGTAGCCACAAGACTCGTCTTGGTAGGGTCGATCGTTGAAGTCATCATCGGTCTTGCACACGTCGATCATTGTCTGCGCTATATGCTGCCAAATGTGCCTCAGCCCCTGCGAAATGCCGTCCACCATACACCGATTCACACCACTGTGCTCACGCGACTGAAGATGTCCATTCTGCGAAGGCGTTGCAAAGAAAACGCGAAGCGAGCTGTCGAACGAGTCGTCGCTAGCAGGCTCCACGACCACCAATACTTCAATCTATATGTTTCACGTCAACATGTTATATAAAACCAAGCTACTGAACAGCAGATACAAACGTACCGAGAATTGAGACCCTCCAGGCAACGCTGGGACAAAAAGCTTCATGCCAAATTCAAGACGTTCTTTACGTAGGCTGAGGTACTTTGCTTCACCGCCCGTTTTCGCGTCATCAGTCTGGATAGGTGAGTATTTCGAATTTCGTCTCCCAGACCCTTGGATTCCTTCGGCACTTCCAATGTAGCTGTCGTGTTTATCGCCGCTACGATTGCTATTGCCGCGACTCTCAGCAAGCGCTTTCAAGTCTTTGTTCCGAGCTTTTACCAATGCGTAATACTGAAAGTCCTCGACGTGAGCAACTTCAACTCCAGGTATCTCGCTCAACGGCATCTGGAAAACCTGTTTGCGAATGTATCCGTTCGTTCGTTTGTACGGTTGACCAGGTGGCACGATGGCTCGCCACGCGCTTATGTCCACCTCCATTGTACCGCTATCGGCGTGAGCAAAGCGGAAATATGACAGAGCATCTGATAGCAACGCCTCAAAAAATAGTGCAGCGGTCACCTTTTCGCCCATGTCTTCCTCAAGCACCTGCACAAACTCTTTCGGTTTACTTTCGAAGAAAGGGATAGCAGTTACGGTGGTTGCTAACACGTGCAGCGGCGTAGGACGTACCGAAGAGGGCCCGCGGATATACGGCCTCCACGGTAGCTGGGCTGGCAAAGTGCTGAGTTTGTCCGAGAGCAAGTTTGTATCCGCGATCGCGGAGATGAGGCCCTTTATGGCTTCGAGAGCGAATGCTTGCGGCAGCAGGACTAAATTCTGCTCCGCGTACCGCTTTTCCCGTGTACTTAGAGTGACCGACGAACACGAGTTGCTGCTTGATGCCAACGTGCTGGCAGAGTCTGCACACTTCGCTTTGCTAAACACATCGGTGCTCACGAGTGAACTTTGTCGCACAGCCGCTGACGCAAAGCGTTGTTTCGTACTTTTCTTTTGCAACACCTTCAGTATTGATGTACAGCTGCTCTGCACCCCGTTCAAGGCCCCACGCTCAATCTGTGCCTTGAGCGTTATGCGTCTTGAAAAAACCACGCCTGCTCGCCACCGAATGCGTAAGCCCGAAGTGCATTCTTTACCTGGTAGACAAGATGTGGATGCATCGCTCACAGTACGCGCTCGTCTCGTTAAATCATCCTCATTTAGTGAGACATCCTCGACCTCCATGAGCACCTCAATAGAGAAACAATTGCTATAAGGAATGCCACGGGTATACATCTTGGTCTGCAGCACGGCCTTGTGCGGAACATGTTCGTCATTGCCATCCTTCAAGTCATAATCATTATCAACTGTGCACGAGTGATACTGCTCGACAATTGCCGCCTTCACGTTGCTCGGTGTCGCGCTCTTCGTAGCATCCTTGCCATTGCCAGTGCCCGGACGATGTACGTTGGACACGGCACTAGCGTCAGCGCGATAGCCAAGTGCACGTATCATCCCATAGCGTGGGTGCGCGTGCCAGTCACATAGCAAGTCACAACTTTCTTTGGATTCTCCACGTCCACTCCCGTTCAAAACGGCAGTGGCTACAACAGCGTCAAGTGAGCCAGACTTCATCAGCGATGACCGGTCCATGTTGCACTTGAGCCGTATCGGGCGCGGAGCTACAAACTCGAGAAAATCACTCACAGTCGATCCAGGAATTGTTGCCGTCATGATCTCACTCATACGGTCTTCAGATGTTTCCAGAAAAAGCCGCGGCCGCTCTGAACCCCAAATGTCGATGCTTGGGACAGCAGCATCAAGCCACGGTAGACGCACCTCCCCACGGTCCCACCTCGCGAGCATTGGCACATGGAACGTGCCGTCCTTAGCCTGCAGCAGCGTTTCAACCGAGCGAGGAGACGTCGGCGCTCTGTAGCTAAACGTCCTTGACGAGGATTCTGACTCGATCGCCACTATTGGTCGTGGTCCCGCACGTGCTGCTAGAGCCAGCAGCGCTGCTAGGTCCGAGCTGTAGACGAATCCGACAGCGTGATCAAATTGCTTGGACAACAGGATGCCACGCTGCGACCCAGTCGTCGCTCGATTGGACTGCGGATCGTCTTCCCGACATTCCCCACTCTTGGACGCCCTTTTGCTGAGTTGGGCTCCTTTTGACTGGGAAAAGCGTGAAAAGGTGCTCGTTTTGTCCGCGACCCACATGCCTTTGCCAAATCGAGCAGCACCGAGTAGCAGATAGACTGGCGGACTGCACTTGTCACTGGCTGGCGGCTCGTCAGGGCGCTGCAACACTTGGAACGTCTCCCACGCGTGCACTTTTTTACTCGCGGCCACGAGTCGCTGCATGATATTCTGACCAATGAATCGCTGGGTGTTCACGGCACAAAAGCTCCACAACGACTGCGCCGTGGGAGACTGCACGACCTGGAACTGGCAGGCCGGCGATGGCTTGGACGTGAACGCGAGCTTCCGCTGGGGCGTGACCCGTAAGAAACAGCCCGTGGCGGGGTTCATGAGGTAGATCCCGCTGCTGTCGCTGCTCGTATGGTCGCGACCAAAGTCGTGGTCCTTCAGCGTCCCCTTCACCTGTTCGTACAACGAGTTCGTCGACACGTGGCTCCGAATCGACACCCGCTGCTTCGCCAACTCGATCTGATCCAAAGCAAAGCGCGACTTGCGGCCGCCAGACGGCCGTTTCGCATCGAACCACTGGTCGTCCATTGCGTTCGCCAGTTCGGCGCGCGCGGCCGACGTGGCGCTGCGGCTCAGTGATTGGACGTCCCGCACGCGCCGGTCCCTCCGCGTTTGGATCACGGCATTGCAGAGGCGGCGGGGGGTCACGATAGCGACGACGGACACGAGCGCGGACAGCAGCGAGAAGACGATAAGGGGCACGGACGTGGACGTGGACGCACTGCTGCTGCTGCTGCTGTCGTTGGGTAAGAGGCGGGAGGCGCCGAGGAAGAGCACGGCGTTCGTCCCGAGAGCGATCAGAACGGACGCTCTGGTCGACGCCATTTCTGCTATGAGAGCGATTGACCGCCGGCCATTTCGTCGGTCGGTCGGTCGGTCGGTCGGATCAGGGAGACTAAACTAGGCGTAAACTAGGACGTCGCGCGTCTGTGTACAGCGTCTGTCGGGTTTACGTCATGGGACTTCGTCGGTCGTCGTGGCGGAGGAAGAAGCGGTGGTTCATGGGAGGACGGTCGTTGCTGATTGGATGAAAAGGCCACTCGGTCCTCGTGGCGCGGGATCGAACGTTCAGTGCAGATCGAGTGTATCACCGAAGAAAGTCAGAGTGGACGTGACGTATGACTGACTACTCCGCACCAGACGGGGCGCACGCACGACGGCAGCTGCCCCTGCAGCTTTTTGGCTGCCTTTTTGCTGCACTTTTGTCCAGGCGGACGCAAAATGGTTCGTTTTTTTTTGCAAAGAAAAGGGATTTCACATCGACGCACGGGACTTGTTCAGAGCGCTGTTCTCTGACCGATCGTATCGTTTGGCGAGTGACACGCACTTTCACCTCTCATCTACGACGTCCATTTTCCACGGTCATCGTAGTATTACAAGCTAAAAGCCGACAGCATGGCCACTATCGAGCAAAACCGATACTTCGACCTCGAGCAGAACTCTACGGCTTAAGAGACTGCAAATGACCGGGCAACGATAAGCGCTTAGCAGCTCGAACTTGTCTGACTGCCGTTTTTGCGTATGTCATACTGGATGCTGCCAATGACGGTGGAATGTCCCGCTTTGCTGCTAGAGCTCCTACGTCAAGAAGTGCAACATGATGTGTCGAGTGCTTATGCTGTGCAGTTTAGAAATGCATCATTATGACTTGGCCATGGGGCAAAAGCGCTCTTATATGGTGGACGTGTGTGTCTACAGATACCGTACCACTTGACGACGGCAACGTCGAACTCACGGAGCAAACACTTGACGCAGCCGACAGTTTGTCGTTATGATGCGAGACACTCCCCCTTGATAACAGCACTACGGGCTACTGGCCGACCCAGTCGCTTCGTCGACGAGACGTGTGTGCCATCGACTGCCAGCGGGAAACACAGCAGCAACTGGCCCGAGCGACGCCAATGCGTCCATCGACCGTGTGGTCGGTCACTGCAAAGTGCAGTCGCACCGCATCGTGACGTGAATCGCACAACCAAAACCAAAAGTGCCTTTGTACACTGGCGACGATCGCATACCATACCTTCCAACCCCAAAAACACGACAACGACGCGGTCTCTCACCTATCGACCCGTCTAGTACCGATCTGCCACTACAACTAACGCCCAAAGCCGTCAGACAATATCGTTGAAGCAGTCGGTATATTGCAGTGCTGTTATAGTTGCAGTCGGTATAGTTGCAGTGCTGTTATAGTTGCAGTCGGTATAGTTGCAGTCGGTATAGTTGCAGTCGGTAGAGTTGCAGTGCTGTTATAGTTGCAGTCGGTAGAGTTGCAGTCGTTGCAGCAGACAAAGCGCTGCTCGAGTCGTCGTGCCGCCAACCACACGACTCGTCCACTTCCATCTCGCGCGGCCCTTTGCCGTCAGTCGCCACAGTCCGTTCGCCCCACGCGCCTCCGCCATCATCGTCGCCTCTCCCCCTTTCCTTCCTCCTCATCGCTCCCCCCCAACGCCATTGACCGCTGAGTCCACTGCATCATATGTCGCCCACGCGCACTGCCCCATCCACCGCCACCGCTGTCCGCGTAGCGAACCGCGAGACGACCCGCGAGATGGACCTCCAGCGCCCCGAGCGGTTCCTCGCGTCGACCCCACGTGCAGTCGCTCGCGTTCGACGTTGCAGCCGCGGACGGATTTGTCGACACGGACGCCGTACGCGCCGTACCCGACCGCCGCGTGGCGCAACTGCGCGGCCGACGGACGCAGAGCTCGTGGCTTACGTGCAGACTGAAAGCAATGCGTTGCGCGTCACGTGGCGAGTGAGGGGCGGGCGCTCGCGTGGACGCTGGCGGGCAAGTGCAGTAGGGGCTTTGTGACGGCGGGCGAAGGCCCGGGGCAGCAGGCGGCGATCGGGTACCCGACGGGGTGGCTGCGGACCCGCGACTTTGCCACGTGGCCGGGCGACACGTTAAGCCCTAAGTGAGGCTGTCGCTTGTTGACGGCCAAAGCTGCTCGAGGCTTTGTCCGTCGGCCGGCCAAAGCTGCTACGACTGAGATGAAGGGACGGGGCGACGCTGGCACTGCCGCTGCTGTTGTTGCCGTTGGCGACGTTGTTGTTGGTATGCTGCTGGGTGCTGTCATAGTTGCGGTCGTCAAGAGAGAGAGCCGCCGTGTTGGCTACACATCGCGTGACTGGGCGCGTACGAAGAAGAGCTCGAGCTTTGAGGACTCGACACTGCGTTCGGGCCAGCAGCAATCGATAGTGTGGATGGCGATGATCAAGTCATTGAGGTCCGAGTGCGTGTGCGTGTACGTGTGCCAATCGTTCAACTGACAACTCGTCACGGATCTGCTTGAGTCCAAGTGTTGTTGCACCCGACCTGAACGGACTGTGCTCGTTCGTCCAGCCAAACACCTTGTCAAGAAACGTCGTGGCCACCAGCTCTGATGACCATGAGACAGGATATCTTCGATACGACACCAATACGCTCGAAGATTGGCTCGTTCACGGCGCTTGATCGTACGCGTCCCGACTTGCGTCTCCGGACAAACAACGAACGCTAAACGATCTGTTGGAATGCCACTGATACGCAAAACATACCGCGGACGACACTTCATCGAATACTTTACACGAGTCCGAGCAGGAACCATTATCGTTCTTCCTTTCCGAAAGACACTACACAATTCACACCACGTGTCCACGGCGAAGGAGGTTGGCGAAGAAAGAAACGGCAACTGTTGGCAGCATCGCTGCAACCAGAACATAGTTACGCTGCTCGCTCTTCTTCGCACCGGGTACAATGGCAAATAAATTGATACTCGCTGCGCGGTCAGACATGAACGGTATGGCACAACATGCGAGGACACAGTCAGTCAATGCGCACAGCGTTTACGATTATTCCACACACTTGCACGTACCGAAGATGTTCCTCCCGCTCGTCTACGTCCTGGTCCACGTCAATGTATGAAATGCACAGCTCGTCGCCCTCCTTCACATCAAATCCATCCATCGACACGTCAGACACTCCTTGTTACGCATCAACGTGCCAACACTTTGCACACTCACCGCAATGTCCTGCACGGCGAAGACATGAGCAGCCCCGTCTTTCGTGTACAGCACTGTGCAATTCGGATCGCAGCTATGGTTCATCGTGCAGATACCTGAGAACAATGCGGTGCCTTCCACGCCCACAAAGTCGTCATTCACCGCGTTGCATTCGTCTTCACCACTTTGGCTTCCCTGCTCCTCGTCGCATTCTTGGAGCTTATCTTTTTGCTTTTCTGCAAATGTTTCCAGCGCTGCTTTCACGCGCGCTAATACCGGCGGCATATCCTTCTTCTCCTCCGGACTCGCCTCGCTCAGCGCCTCATTCAGCGCGTGAAACGGATGGTCGATCTCCATACTAATGTTGTTCATCTCAAACATGCCGACCACGCGACTAAAAAAGTCGACGTTTAGGACTTGGTCGCACATGCCCACGACCGCATCTGCCGTGAGACCGCGGAGTTCTCCCAGCGTCTCGAGATGAACTAAGTTTTCGTTCAGCCCATGCATGAAAAAGTCGTACGTCTGCGTCAGCAGGTAGCGAAACTTATCCCGATAGTCTTCTAGCGTCTCTCCGTCTTCTAAATCTTCTTCCGACGTTATGACTTCCCACCACGGCAACTTGCAAAACATGTCAACAGGTTGTCGAGCTTGCTCCATGTCCTGCGTCGCTACAAAGAGCAACAGGATCTTGGCCACGACCTTGGCTGCAAGCTGGAAAATCTCATTCGTCACGAGCGTGTGGTTCAAGAACCGCCCCATCGCATTATCCCGCTCCTCCGTGTGGGGACACAGCAGCGCGTGGTGTTGCGCGTACGCAATCAGTTTGCAATTGTCCGAGCAATAGACGACTCCACAGCTGCAATGGACCTGCGTCTCGGCCAACTTGAACACGGAGAAATAGCTCTCGGAAGCGCTCTTGCCGCCTTCTTTCTGCAAGAAAGCAATGGCTGCTTCAAAGTCAGCGTTGCTGGCCACGATCTTGTCCGCACAGACTGCTTTGGCGTCCCCTCGCGGGCGGCAGTCCGCCACGACACGTGCCCAGCAGACTTTGCTGTCGATCAGAGGCACAAAGCAATTGTCGCAACAGTCGACAAACTCCTTATTGTCTTCGTGCTGCATGGCTACAAACGGAGCTTCGGTCCAAATGGGTTCGCCAGCCTGAAGCGCTCTCGCAGCAAACATCGCTTTGCCCTTTCCACTCGCGAGACCGCAGCGGATCGGTGGGCCGTGCAGCCGCGAGTGCAACAGCGCGTTGAAGTAGGCAGCAACGTCAGACGGGAGCGCTGGCATTGCAGCTATGCCGTGGAGGGGTTGGGGCAGCGACTTGGCGTCGAAATGACTGGTTGACCGACTGAAGCTATGACCGGATGAAGCTCGAACTGGCCGACGCTATGACTGATGGAGGGACGGAATGACTAACGAAAGGATTGACAGGCCGAGTCGGTCATTGGGTGGCCGACTATCGACTCCAAACTCGTGAATGAGACAGATGCGTTTTGGCTGGTCGACGACAGCGACGAAGGGATTGGGCAGCTGGATGGCGGGGAAGGGGTTCGTTCTACTTGGGCTCTGTAAGCGCTGCGTTTGACATGGTGCCACAACACTGGTACAAAACATGACGGGAGCAAAAACATGTCCATTGGGATGCTGCTGACCACCGGCTAGTCGATGGAATACCGTCCTATACGCCAAAGAGCGTCATGAACAACGACGCGTCGAGGCTTTTGTAGCCATTCGAGCATCGCAGCCCCATGTGGCTCTTATAAGCTCAGAAGAGACTGGCGGACGCTGAACAATGCCATTGCACCTGATTACGACGTCGCCTCGACATTGTGGTAGCAACGGCTGATTCGACTCGGCAGATACCATTGCAAGTCTCGTTCATTCAGCGGATTGTCGTGGCACAGCACAGGCCAAGAGACTGCAATACCGTGAGCAAAAGCGCCACGTTTTACCGCAAGTAACGCAATGCCAAGTTGCTGTTGCGTTGCCGCCTTTGTACACGAGTGCAGATCAATTGTCTCCCGTCAATTGTCAATCGATGGCCCGTGTGTACACGTTGCTCCGTCGCGGGTCAAGGGGCTGTATCGTTGGCATCGTCTACTCGGAATGTATTGTCGAGTCCACACGTGCATCGTGTCGAGTGACGGATGAGTGCATCCAAAGGGAACGAGTCACCAAAGCTCGATCTAGTACCGCCTTTATCGCACTTACCTCGTCGCACAACCTCTTCTTGTCTGCTAGTGCAGCAAATACTGACCCATTTCTGCAGCTCACAAATAGTTTTGGGTCTGGAAAGAGCACCCAAAACCCCTTTCGCAGCGTTCGACATTCAGCCAATCACGACCACGTCGCAACAAAACCCACGCGCTCGGTCGGATCCCTTGCCCAACGAGCGAATCACAAGCCGCGAAACGCGCGCGTACCTCGGCGTCGAAAGTCGAAATATCGACAATTCCAGTCCGACTTCTCCGTCGTCGTGTCACTTTTCCAAACCCCACCGGCTTCCGCCTCAGCCTCCGGAACGTGGCACCGTCGGCCGCCATGAACGCCGACACGGACACAGCCCAACTCGGTCTGCCGACGTCGTATCAAGCGCTCACGTCGTCGACGCTCAGCAGTTTCAAGAGCAGTGCACTGCGCTCGTCCCGAATCGATCGTACGCTCTTGAGATTTTTGTCCGATAAATTGCGCCAAATGTGGTGCTAAAAACCATTTTCATCGGTTTTTGTGGAATTTGTTGGTGTTCGTATTTGTTGGTGTTGTTCTTATCGTTGACGTTCGTGCTGCTAGTTGACCGGTACTCGAGCATGGCCGCGCCTTATGGACCGGCGGACCCCGTTGCCAGTACTTATTTCCAAGTGAACATCAGCAAAGCCAAGGCCCCCATCATGTGCGGCGACGCTGGACCTGTCAAGGGCAAAGCCATTTACGCCGAACGAGATTTGCCCAAAGCTACTCGGATTTGGACCGAATCGCCGCTCGTGGCCATGCAACACGAGCACAATCGTCGTCTCTTGCCCTGCTGTCAGTTTTGCTACTTGCCGCTCTTGGGCGACGCCCAGCAGCAGTGGCACGACATTGTCACGCGGTATAATGTGGCTCAGGCTCACAAGGGGACGTCAGTGGACTCGGAAGCCGGAAGGACGAATGACAAGACAATGACTCGAGAACAGACTGAGGTGGTGGACGTTGATGCACTGAAGACAACGCTGCAGCTGTTGCGGATCACGCCCGAAAGCTGTGGCATGGCGGACCCTGGAGCCAAATGTGCGTGTGGCGAGCTCTACTGCTCAAAATTGTGTCGGATGCGAGCGCTCCATGAATACCATGCTATCCTTTGCCCTCGCAAGGATCCGTGCTCGGCCATGGGCGTGTTCCTTGAGCATACACGCCACACGAACGATATTTTCTACCTTGCAGTGAAGGTGATCGCCCGCGTGCTGTCACGGTATCTCGTGTGGCGAGACATTGTGAAAGCGCGTGAGCCGATCGATATGTTTTACAAGAAGCCTTGGTGGGAGGTCGTTGTTGTGGAGCACGAGGAATCGGTACCGCTGTCGCACGAGTGGTATAGCAGCGAGGAAACGTCTGGTCCGGTTACGACTAGTGGCAGCGATGATACAAACAGTGACGACGGAGGCAGCAGCAGCAATGACGACGGCTTCCCGAGTGAAGAAAAGAGTGCTTACCAGAAACAGAGCACTGCTTTGCCGAATGCTACCGGCTATACCGCCTCACAGGCTCACAACGCACGACAGGTACAGACACAAGCAAAGAATAAGAAAGAACGAGAGTCAACGGTAGATGGTGGCACTCCGACAAAAGCATCTACGAAGGCGCAGTGTTTGCAGGAGGTGCTGAAGATGACGCATGAGTTGCTCATTGACGCACTGGAGTGCAATTTGGTGCGGCTGGAGCGGGAAGGTCAGCTGCGTGGTGTTACGGTCGAAGAAATCTGGCGCTGTTGCTCGAGCGTATTGAGCCTTGAGTTTTTCACGGCACAGATTGGTCTCTTTGAGATGAACAATATCAGTATGGAGGTGGACCATCCCTTTCGCGCCTTCATCGACATCCTGGACCCCGATGTTCAGCACGAAGTGGCCGTGGGCGAGAGTACCGACAAAGTCAGCAGCAAATCTCCAAGGTTACAGCCACAGCTAAACACTAGAGATCAGGCTCTTGTTGCTGGCGTGCGACGCGTGCTAGAATGGGAGGAAAAGCGCTTACAAAGGCTGCAGGCGCAGGAACGCCTGCAACGGAGCGCTGGCAAAGTGAATCATGACTTTGATCCGCCTCTAGGCTACACTGGCATTGAAGGCACTGCGCTCTTTCCGATCATCTGTACAATGAATCACAGTTGCGATCCGAACTGCACTGTATTGTACACAAAGAACGGCGACGGCCACGTCGTGGCCATACGTGACATCGAGAAAGGCGAAGAGCTTTGCATCTGCTATATTGACGTTGACATGGATGTGCAGTCGCGGGAGGCGAATTTGCGCGAGTACAAGTTCAAGTGCTACTGCCCGCGATGTGTGAACGAGCGGCAACAATATGAGCGACATCGACCAGCGCAAGGCGCAAATTCTGTATCCGGGCAGCTGGCTCGACGCTCCATTTCCGAGAACCAGCGGCAGTTCAAGAAACCAAAGAACAAACGCAGCGATCAGGGGCAGTGAGTGGAATGGACACCAGCGTCTTGGGTTCCGTGTTTCTAATAAACAAAAGCGCTTCTTCTTGCGCCTAGATATGACTTCATGTAAATACACTTACGATCGGCATTAACAAACTGTCTTTGCTTCCCACTTGACCACGATAGGGAACCACGATAGGGGACCACGATAGGGGACCACGTCAGAGTCGGTAAGTAGCCGCTACGCCCGAGATGCCGTTGTATACGTACGTGTGGTTCAGCGGCTCAAACTGGTGCGTGATCAGCTTCACGGCCTCCTGCGCAGCAACGCCGCCCATCAACGCGGCAATGTTGTGCAGCTCAACTTGGCACGATCGGGTCATCTCCAGCGCGTGGTCAAGAGTAATCCAGTTCGCCACGGCACTGCCAGCAGCCAGAGCCCTCGCCTTCGCTACCAGCCACACCCGGTCTTGCGCCACAGCAGCGTCCTCCGATCCAGGGTACCGATGGAATTCGGACGCGAAAAGAGCCACTGCCCGCAGCATAAAGTACCAGATCAACGGCGAGTGCTCCTTGTCCTCGTCGTCCAGATCCACGTCCGACAAGTCGACGTGCGCATACTCTTGCGCGACGCTGCGAGTTTCCAGCATGCCGATACTCGCAGCGTTCTTGCAAAACGCCGCAACAGTTTCATATGCGATCATGTCATCAGCAAGTTCCAAATCACGCAGCCGCTTGCACACCATGTCATACACCTTGGTCGCGTCCTCTTTGGCCTTGGTCACGTACAGCTCCTGTAGCGCCACGTACGACTCCGTTGACGCCGTCATGTCGGGCACAACTCCAGTCACCGGCAACAGTCCGTCGTTCTGCTCGACGAAATCGGCAAGTGCACTCGCCAGGAGCCAAAACTCGTCCGTGACGTCCAAGTCCTTCCTCTTCTCCAGCGCTTGTGCCGACACTGCGCGTGATGCAGCAGCTGCCAGCACCGACGCTACTTCGTCAGGCACCTGCGGCTTCACGTACGCCATGTACGCGTGCTCCGCCGCTTCGACAAAGTTCACTTCGTGACCAGGAGCGCCCCGCGCCATTTGCTCGAGCAAAGTCTTGAACGCACGTTTCTCGGCAACGGTCGTCGGCAGTTGGCCGTCCCCACAGCTTCTTCGTGTCCACTCGTTCCGCACGTGCAGCAGCAGCACTACGAACGGCACGTGCGCGTGTTCAATGCTCGAGAGCGACGGCAGGTCAAAGCTGTCGGCAAACGTTTGCAACGTCGAAAAAGGCCGCGACAGCCGCAGCTCGTGCCGCGGCGGGTCCAGTTTTGCATCGACAATCACGTGGTCCATCACTTGCAGCCGCAACGAGCCCACGAAGCCCCACGACGTCACGAGAATCAACGGACGTCTCTTGTCCCGACACAGTCGGGCCAGCAAGAGCGTCACGTGGTCGTCCAATAATTGTGTAGCCATCACGAGATCAAAGGGGTCCAGAAACTGCGGCTCCGTCTCGAGCACGTGCTTCACGTCCGCGTGGCGAGCGCCTCCGGCCACGTCTGTGTTCAGTTCCAGCAGCATCTGGGCGACTGTCTCGCACCTGGACGCCCCAATAGACGCAGAAGCCACAAAGAAGTTATTTGTACGATCAGCTGGTGTCACGAATTGGTCGTCCATTATCGTAAAGCGCTGGACACCGGGCAGCACGAGGTTCTTGAGCGCTTCCGAAGCAGTTGCACACGAGCCGAGGACCAAGACGTGTGTGCCGGCCAGTCGACGCTGTCCTTCAGCGCCCCAGAGACGCAGCTGACGGTCGTACTTGTCGCCCATGCACGAAGGCGGTGAGGATTGACGGGAACAAAGTGGTCGTACAAAATAAGTGCTGCGTGGACGTCGAGGTGTGTGGGATATACTGTTTATGCATACGAAGAGGGTGTATTCTCTGTAGGGGGTAAACGACGCGATTTATTCGGCTGTGTATCAGGTTGTGTCCGTGAGTGCTTCTCAACATTCATAATATTCGAGTAGGAGGTAGCGCCAGCTTTTCGTCTAGGCAAAATGACGTTTCGTGAAGTAACGAGCTCATTGTCACCAGAAGTGGTGCCAATGGACCCGTTAATGCAGCACATTTCAATTTACCCACCGACACAAGTCTCCCAGCAAACTCGGTACGAATATGACGAACGCGCTCTCTTTCCATTGGTTTTGCTAAGGGAATTAGAGGACGATCAGTTACCATTACAATATTCGTCCTTTGATGGTAACTGATCGTCCTCCAGTTACTTCACGCCCGCGAATTCTTCTAGCCTGCAAGAAGCAGCAGCGATTCCACACCAGTCGTCTATCAAGCGATCAAAGACATGCTCACTAACCTCTTTCCTCCGACGTGGCCCTCGCCTTGCTCACCTCAGCCCCTATTTCTTTTTGCCCTTTATCATCTTCTTCACCTTCTTGGCCCACGCCTTGTTGATCTCCTTTCGCTTCGCCTTTTGCTCTTCATCTTCGCGGTCCACGGCTCGCACTTTAATCCCCGGGAAATTGCTCTCGAGCAGCGCCTTGAGCTGCGGCAACTTTTTTCTCCGGCGGGGAATACGTGCCACTGTTGTTGTCAATGTGCAGCGTGTACTTCCCGAAATGTCCCTTACTGATGTAGAACTCCCCGGCGTACTTGACGTGATACTGGGCCCTCGAGTGCAGCATGTGCTTGGACAGCATGTCCTTGAAAAACGCAGCCCCCGTCTCGGAAAAGTACATGCCCGTCTCAACGACCACGTAGGTATAGAGCACGGACTGGTCCTGCCGTTTGCCGCCGTGCAAGAGCTTGAAAAAATCATCGGCTTCATCAAGCTCGCCGTAGACCGTATTGCCGTTGTGTTTGTAGACATAGTCGTGCTCGGACTGGACCATCTTGCGCATAGCAGGCGCTTCCAGGTGGTCCGAGGCAAAGATCCGACGAATCGTCGGATAGTTTCGATTCCACTCAATGTCCGTCGGCAGGTGCACCGAAATGTCGTGCAAGTACATGTGGTAGGCCAGAAACCGCAACTTGTCATCGTCCGTCCTGGTCTGCGTGAGGACGCCACCGACGAAGCTCGAGTGCACGGCATAGTGCACAGGTCCGTATTGCAGCAGCTTCCCGTCGCCCTTCGTGGACGTCGAGTGCGACTTGAGTTTGACCGTAATCGTCCCGGCAGATTTGGCCTCATGAGTGATGGGTAGCTCGAAGGTTTTCTCCTTGCCATGTGTATCAACCGCGATGAACTCCGCCTCACCGAGTGCATCGTCGCTAAAAAGGTCCTTGTCCATCAAGTAGAGCTTGCACGACGTGTCGGGCTCGACGTTGCGAAAGTAGAACTTCTCGTCCCACTCGGGGTTGAGTGACGAGGCAATGGGACGTGTCCACGCCACTGTCTCGTTCATCACTTCAATGGCTGCGAACGCGTCGCTCGACGAGAACTGGCCCTTGAGTGAAGCCTTCCAGTCCAAGCGGTCCCCGGCAGCAATGTCCGCGGCGGACACGATCTCGAGCTCGACATCAAGCGCAGAGCGCGGCTTCCAAGCGTGAGCAGACGGGGAAAGCGCCAGCGCCGTCAACGCGACGACGGCAGCGGAGGTAACTTGGCCCATGGCTGATGACGAGGTGGGCGCAAGACGAGGAGACTGTAAGAATGAAGAGAGCTACAGCGTCGCTAGTGACCGGGGAGATGGGGAACGTGGGCAGCTGTTTTGAGAGAAGACCAGGTCGCCCGCCCGTCACCGAATGAGTGCTCTTGTTGGATGGAAATAGCGAGTCGACGAGTGCTACAGAAGGAGCGACATGCGGCTATCTTTGCGTGTCAAGCGCACACCTCTATCCCCCCACGGTCTCTATTGCACGAGGTGCTGCTACGCAGACGGCGGTTTTGACGTGTCGCACGGCCTTTCGAAGCGCTGGGGACATGTGTGAGTGTTCGAAACGGGACAACGTGTCGTTTGAAGTTGTCGCGATGCACGACGGACGGAGCGGGTGAAGAAGGCGGCTGTCCGTATACATGCAAAGGATGGCGCCCGTGTATTTAGCCATGATGCCCGGTGTGTTTCGCCTCCCCCATTCGGTACCGGTCAGTGCTTGACGTGCGGAACCGATGGTGACCTTCTGCGACACGGGCGCTGGAAGTGCGTCACACTCTATTGAGCTGGGGTCGCAGATGTCGCGTGCACATGGCACTCATGCCCGATCGCTTCGTGTGTGCATAGTTGACGCCATTGGCACTCTACACATCGAATCGTCGGTGCTCTTCCGAGGTCGCTTACGCGCGAGATTGAAGTTGAGATCGAGTGTCCCATTGTAGAGGAGAGTCATCAAGTGGCTTGAGCTCGTTCCATCTCGTGACGCGCACGCCCGAGTAGCACGAAACAAAGGAATCGAACTACGCCGAGCCGGACCCACTGAGCCACTTGCGTTCGCTGACCAAAGACGTTGGTGAAAGCTGCTTGACGAGCACGCGCGCGAAAATTGTGGTGATGATGACCATCACTAAACCACAAGCAGCTGATTCCGGACACCAGCAGCAAGTGGACCTTATGAACGCAAGGAGATTGATGCATCGTACCTTATGGAGACCCATGAGATCGCTTTTCGCGAAATCTCGGTAACGAACAGCGACTGCAGTAAGGATGAACGGGCTGAAGATTCAGACGGGAATGTACCGGGCGCCTTAGTGTCAAAGGCACTATTCGAGAGGGTCAGGATTGTGCGAGATAAACAAAGTAGACCGCCAGATCAGACGTCTGCATTCTGCAAAACCAGACTGTTGTCCATGTGTTGTTGCATCATACAGTGTCCGATTGCTCTTGCAAACTAGCGTACACGGCTGCCGTGCACATACATAGCGCGACTTTGTCCTAAGTGGCCCAGACAACGTCAAATCTATACTGCCCAATGGTCAAATCAACTAAATACGACCGACCGTAGCGTTCATGTCCATAGTGCTAGATTCTCCTTACGCCGTTGCTGCACACATGCGTCTTCGCACTCCAGCGCTTCCACTGCAATGCCAGGGAAGTTGTTCTCAATCAACGCCTTCATGCGCGGTAACGCAGCTTTAGGCGGTGCATACGTACCGCTATCGTTGTCAATAATGAGCCTCGGCTCACCAAACTGATAATTGTCGACGCGAAACTTGTAACGGGGTGAGCCCTTTACATAAAATTGATACGAATGTATCATTTTTTGAATATTATCTATTCAGATAATATTCAATTGACATTACTCGAGAAGAGGTAATATTGGCGGAATATTACCCCCGAGGGTAATGATTTTGGGTATTTCACTTATTGGTTGATGTAGACGCTACACCAACGACCGCTGCTAGACGCGCGCAATAAGTGGTGAGCAAGATACCCACATAGGAAATTGCAGTATAATGTAGTTAGATCAAGACAAAGATGGTTTATTAAAAACTTATCTATATTACAAACAGTTCTACTTTACCCTTAAATAGAGCTTCCCTAGCTCTGTTTAGTTCCTCGTGCTTCCTCACGATGCGTGTACGTGCCATCGGGAGTACGCAGCCTTGTGTTCTATCGCCATAATGTTTCACCAGTCATCTGGTAAGAGCGTGCCCCGTTACTATGAGGGGGCAGTGTATTCTAATGAAGCGTTTTGCGGTGTTCTGGGTGTGCGAGCACGTGGCAAAGATGGGTAAGGTGATTCGGAATCCATACCAGTACATTGTATAATAAGCGACCATTTACTAGATAGGTACCAGTCTCATGGTCGCAAACCTCTGCGAGAACTAAACGTAATCCATGCCCTGCCTTCGTCAGGCTAAAATTTGCTTTAGTCTGGGCATGCGGGAATGTTCCAGAGATGAAAGAAGAGGAAATAAGTGTGTGAGAGTCTAAAGATGGAGGTATTTTTTGAAGTGCTTAGCTGTCTACACTACGGCTGACTAGGGATAAGCCTCTGTCCACTCAAAGCCCTTAAATAGTCTCCCTTTTTACTTACTGTCTTTTCCTTTTTTGTTTATTTTGGTGGTTAAGGTGACGTAGGCCCCCTCCTTACTTACCACCTGGTTCATGTATGGAGTGACGTTGTCTTCAAATTCCTGTGTCTTGATCAATATATGCGAATGAAAGAATGTAGATTCCTTCCGAATCTACAGATAGCCCAATCCGTCTTGCGTACTTGTGGTCCATATCGAGAGAGAGAGAGAGAGAGAGAGAGAGAGAGAGAGAGAGAGAGAGAGAGAGAGAGAGAGAGAGAGAGAGAGGAGGGGACAATAAGGTTTATTACAACTACTTTTCACCACTTAAGATTTGTAATTTCTAAAAATACATCGGTCATTTTTATAAAGAAATCTCAACTACTTCTCTGTGCCGCACATTTAGGGGTAGTATTACGAGTTAAACCAACTGCTAAATTGAAAATGTAAATCTCCTCAGACACTGATCGATTCAATCTAGATAATTCAAAGACCACTGTCCATGCAAATTGACCTTTTCACGACACACACATCACCGTCGTAATTCGTGATCCTTAACAATCTACCATGAGACGATATTTCTATTACCGCTTTCCTCACTCGACTGATTCGATACTTAAGGGGTGACGGAGGACTTTCCCGGGGGGCCATGGAGAATTGCTGTTGATCAAGTACGGAATTAGAACTGGTTTGCACTCTTGACCGCTTGGCTACGCTACACTCGCGCTTCTCTCTAATTCAGGAAGCAGTAGACGCATGGCTAAATAGTTTGTTCCACTTACGAGTCCTAGCATGCCATATTGACGTGATTCCCGGTCGCTTCCGTGGGATCTGCTTGCTCTGCTCTTTGGGCCGACTTTAGTGCACAATCGTGTATAATAAGGTGCCCAGGCGCACCACTGGACTCAACCATCTTAGCCTGGTGCTTGCTGTATACAAGCGATCGGTACTGAGTCTCAACAGAGCCCCACGTTCCTAAGGGATTTCGTTTCGTAAAAGTGGGATTCGCGCGCAGCGAACAAGCCGACATGGGGGGAGGCAAGTCGTGAAGAGAAGAAATACAGGTAGACGCAAAGATGTCGATCTCTGTCGGCACTGTCCGTACCGAGGGATATCAGCGGGTTGCCCTCCTTTCGGGTCGCACGCTGCGTTGCCTCCAGTAGCACGCGCAGCCGGAGTGAAGACCTTCCCCCTATTGACCTTCGTCGCACTAAGGAAAGACTCCCGTCCGTCCAATGTAAGGGCCAGATTACTGGCTCTTCGGGGGCCCTCGTCTCTGCGCGTGTCCGCACTGGGCACTGAATGGGAAGTTAGGGAAGAAAAAGTGATTTGGATGCAGTTCTGCAATGGCCTCAACATTTGCAACAGAGCTGCATGTAAGACCGTTTATAGCGGAAAACTCGTCCATTCGTCTATGTAGACTAAGTACGATCTGCGTGTATCAGATGATACGACCACAACTGGACTGATGCTACGTGCGTACTGCTTCTGCGTTCTGTTGCATAAACATTGCACGTAGTCATGGACAAGACTGTGCATCAGACACCAGTTATTCATCGTACGCTACAATCGAAACCAGGCAACATGGTACCTGAAACGGTTTTGAGGATGATGTCGTTGCGCGTGCACCGGCAGAAAATCGTCTCTTTGCCGAGGAAGATATTGTGCGTGGAATGAGGGGTCAGCGGTGACGCCACGCTTCGTTGCCTACATGTAGGACTATCTACGCTGTATTGATAGACCCCAATTGTCACAATTCTATACTGATCTGCTTGTCTTTTATTTTAGTCCCATTGATGGACTTATCAGGAGGGATGGAGTCGGTGCGCGAAGAGTGGTTGCGTGTCAAGCAAGGTACATCAATCTCATCTTTATCCAATCAACTCGCTCGGTGCAAGGGTAGAGGAGTTGGCTCTGTGTCATAAACCAGATCAAGTACATTTTCTGCTTCTGATCCGTGACAGTATATACTGCCTCTTGCATCTCGCTAGCGGACAATGGAATGTCACCCGTCCCCTATTCTGTTTTTATGCGCTCATTGTGCAATCTGCTCGGTTACCAGCCATGCGTCGTTGCGTATCGATTCTGCTGCTTACTGCCACCTGTTTTGCTGCAACTGCTGAAGCACTCTCGACCGGCCCACCGAGCTCGCTCGATCTGGACGAAGGTGACGGTCCTGTCGACAGGCGCCTAAAGCAGGCTGACAGTGGCAACGAAGAGAGGGGTATCGATGTGTCTTTGTTCGTTGAAAAAGGAGCGGGGTCAATGGTCGCCCTCGTCATGGAGGCAATGCATCACGTATACGATGCTCGTGATCGTGTCTACCGCTACATTGCGACGCGCAGCCTTCCAAGACAGCATAGAAATATCCTTGCCCGATACGTCACGGCGCTCAAGTCGAATAAACGTGATTCGGTGGACAAGATGATGAGCTCTTTCAATGTGGTGTCGATAGCGTCGACGATTGACGCGCTGAAGGGTGTGAAGGACCAGCATATTCAAGATATCGCGAGTAGCATGCAGAGCAACATGATCAGGATGTGGAGCAACAAAGGGTTATCACCTGACACCTTGTACAAGGACCTCAATCTGGGGAAGAACATCTGGAATAGGATAAAGAAGTCTGAATCCAACTTCCGTCTATCAAACCAGCCGGACTTCAAACTCTGGGTAGCCTTTGTAAACGACGTCTGGAAACGAAACCTTGGCAACGAGTTCGAGAAGCTGGATGACGAATTGAAGGCCATGATGATACTTATTACTGGCAGCAAGCACGAGCAGACAAAGGTCAAGGGAGCACAGAAGTCGTACATAAATAAATGGACGACCCTCGAGATCGATCCGGTGAAAGAGGAGGTCTTGGTCAACCTCAAGAAGTTGAAACGCAGCAAAACAAAACGAAAGGGTGTGGCCAGGTGAAGCCCTCCACGAAAACTGGCGTGTGCTTCTTTTCTTTTCTATGTACGCGTTGTGCGTTTGGTGCATTCTTCGGTAGAACACACAGTTTCATAACAAATCAAAAGAGTATCAACGATGACTGCTTTCTACCTTGACTTTTTGACTATCGTTTATCAGGATGCTTTTGATAAACCCCATTAAAACAATCAACTGTTCGACGAACGTAGAATTTACAGCTTGAGGATAAGAGGATGCTCTGCGTGATCGCATATGCTGCATATTGTGCTTCTCACTTTCTCTGCGTGCGTATATAACGTCACATTGAACCATGCCACTCAGACACGGCTAAGCAACACACCAGCTCCTCATTTTAATCTTTTTGGTGAAGACGTATAAACCATTTCTAGTAAACGTTATCCATGAGTTTATGTACTGACCGCTTACTAAAGTTATGGTCAAGTGCTTGACCATTGTAAAGATACGAAAGCTGGACAGATTTAATCAGCGGCTTCTTGCTGCAGTGGTGCACTTACCAGTCGCTCGGCACGGCCGTCGAGGAGTTGTCAATATGGCTTGCTAAGGCTGGTGTCAGCTCTATTGACAGACGAGACTGTAACGGGGTGAGCCCGTCGCATAAAAATTGGTACGAAAGTATCAATTTTGAATATTATCTATTTTGATAATATTCAATCAACATCACTCGAGAAAAGTGGTGTTGTCGTAATTTAACCTCTAAAGGTAATATCCGTGGAGGGGTCCACTTCTTGGTTGATGTACCGTGTACGTCAACCAATTTGACCACCAATCGGTGTTGGACGCGCGCAATGGGTGGTGGACAGAAGACCCACATAGGAGACAGTAGTTTAATTTAGTTAGATTAAGACGAAAGATGATTTAGTAAGAAACATAACTATATTAAATAACAGTTCTACTTTTCCCTCGAGACAGAGCTTTCGGCTTATGTATTGTCTTGTTCGCGCTTCCTCACGACACGTGTACGTGACGTCGGGCGTACGCACCCTTGTATTGTTAACAATACAAGGCTTTGCTCAGTTATCTGAGCAAGAGCGTGCCCCGTTACACCAGGTAGCACTTTGTAGTCCTTCCAACGCCCACCCGCCTTATCCGCCATGAACATGAAGGATGAGGAAGAGAGCTTTCACGCGACACTTGAAGGCTTCACCCATTCGAGTGACCTTGAATGGGCCGCGGTAGGGCGAATGAGCTCTACCGTGGGCGACATTGGCGTTACCACTATGTTGGAATCTCTTGACAGAGGCCAACAACATGCCGCCATCGCGAGGTTCATTCAACATGAACTTGGCGCCGAACGATAGAAAGTAGCCTTGCTTCACCAGCAAGGCCCTCAACAGGCTGAGCAGTTGAGAGAACTCGGTGCTCAACAGACAGAGCTGTTGAGACAGCAGCAATTTAATGCTGCTGTGGGGGGAACGACGCACACGCGTCGCCCCGAAATCTTGAAGGTTGACATCTCCAAGTACAGAGGAGTCGAGGAAGACTAACTGTTGTTATGGTTCGTCGAATGAGACAGATCCATCAAGGCACGTCGCATCGACGATGAACAAATGAAGCTAACATTTGCTCAATCCCACTTAGCAGGAAGTGCCAAGACTTGGCCCTTAGTGTAACCGGGCAGCCCGTTACATGAAATTGTCACTCTAAAGAAAGAATGACAATAAAGAATATTAATTGAATATTCTTTGAACAATATCACCGATAGTAGTGATATTGGTGAAGCGACCAAAGGGTTCTGCTCATTGGTTGATATCTTGACGATATAAACCCACCAATCGCCGCAGGACGCGCGCAATGAGTGGTGACGAGACGTCACCATACACTCAGTTATATTAACATAATTAAGTCAGGTTAAACAGAGAGACAGTAACAAAAAAACTTAATTATATTAATACGACAGTTTTACTTTTCCCTTATCTACGCTTCCTCGTTTACCTCGTGTGCGCTTGTCGGGGTACGATAACCTTGCGTTAAGTTCACGCAAGGGTGTGCCCCGTTACACTTAGGGCTGGAGATGAGCGACCCATACGCTTTTAGGTCGATCGAATCTTTCAAAACCCGGCTGAAAAGAACGTTTGAGCCGCTAAGGGCCGAGTTCAGGGCTCGATTAGAGCTCCTGAAACTCAAACGAGGTAAGCGTGATGTGCACGCTTACGCTCAGCATATACGAATCCTCGCGAGTAGTATAACTGCAGAACCGGTTAATGAACACACGTTGATTACTGTGTTCATGCAAAGGCTCTCAGAGGGACACGCCAGGAATCAACTGTTCCGCCTTGAGCTGAATACTCTAGAAGATGCTATTGCCGCAGCGGAGCAGGAAGAATTTAGCATGAGACAAGCTTATGCTAGCTCGAGCTCTTATAATCCACTGAGACGACAAGAGACGGGAGGTCCAGAGCCAATGGACCTCTGCTATGTTGAGAGTAAGAGACCTCGCTCTTCAAACAACAAGCGATTGCAGAGGTTCAATCGCTGTCAGAAGTTAGAGCACTACGCATACGAGTGTAGTGCTCCACGCCCAGTACCTATCAGTAATGAGCGAAACGGACGACCAATTGCCAGAAAGGGCAATGGGCGTGGGTCCAGCGCAGTTGCGAAGCCGCAACAGCGAGACGGAACATCAAAAAATGGTCGGGGTCAGAAGGGGAGGAGCGCCCTACTGATCCAGAAACCTAAAGATAATGTGCAAATCTCTTGACGAAAGTTGCTCCAGATTCACAATCATTTTGTGAATCTGCACCTGGTGATGACGTTTCGCTCATCACCTTGAAGTTAGAGGTGACAAAAGATATGTCACTTCGTGATCTGGTTGACTGTGGGGCGTCGAACAACTTTGTTCGTCGCCAGTCACTAGAGGAGCGTGGGCTCAGTTTCGTGAAGCGCCATATTCCCCTCACGAGGATGAAGGTGCGCCTTGCAACAGGTGCATCGATTACCGTTAAGAAATGTGTAGTAGGAATCCACTACACGTTGGAGGGCGAACAGTACGAGGATGACTTCATCATGCTGGATCTGGATGACAAATTTGATGTCAACCTGGGATTACCTTGGCTCAGAAAATAAGAGCCAAGGGTGAGATGTCAGCATCGATCCGTGAAGATGCCTGCCACTTGTTCATCAGATGGCCATCTGATGAACGTCATGGAGCGTCCACAAGCGTGTGGATGTACTGCGAGTGAGTGCGATGGCCTCACTTGCGGTACGATCGTTAGCACGACTGCACAAGACCTCAATGTAGCTGATCGCTACACTGTCGAACAAGCTCCTGGCGGCTGTACAGATGTACAGGCAGCGCCGAAGGCTCACCACTCGAATAAGTCGAGTGGACCGGGACATGGATGTATGTCTAGCGGACAACGTCCTAGACAGAAGAAACATGTTGCCACCAAAAGACAACACGGTCATCCTAGGTCGACTGGAGAGCCGACCGTAGAAGATCAAGACCTGACTGTGGTTGCACATCCACAGTCAGAAGACGTAGAGGGAATAAGTCCTCACGTGCTTGAGGAAGGACTTACATCAAGAGTTAAATACTGAGGGATTATGCACTCAGCAACCTGTGGAAACAAGGTTCCGGGAAGAAAACGAGACGTTGAACGCTTTGGTCAATGACGGATCAAGCGTAGGCACTTCCACGCTTGATCTGGTTTTGCCTCCGAAACTAACTTCGGAGATAACTCAATTGCCAACGCTAGAACCGAAACGGTTCTTGCGCGATCTTCGTACTGGCAAGGTCAAGCAGATCTGCATACTCATCACAGAGGATGACTATGTGGCCGATATTCGGTCGGCCACCGTATTTGCTGAGAACGAACGAGTTCTCAGCAGCTCACCGATGGACGAAAGTGTCCTCTATGAGAATACTCGGATCGAACGATACACGTCTCAATCCTGGGAGTCACTTCAGGCAAATCCTTTGTATAAATATTTGATCGAATTCAAGGATGTGTTTCCTGAATCTGTGCTATGCGAGTTGCCTAAGGACAAAGGCACTCGACACGATATTGAGCTCAAACCAAGCTCGAAGTACTGTGTCATGAAGCAGTGGCCACTGCCTCGTGAAAAAGTACTAGCGGTCGACAAGTTCTTTGCCGATCGCTTAGCAGCGAGCCATGTAAGGGAATCAAAATCCCCTCACTGCTCTCCGACCTTCTGTGTGCGAAAGGCTACATGAGGATGGCGGATAGTGCACGCGTTCAACAAGTTGAATGCTGCAACGGTACCGAATCAGACGCCGATACCGAGGAAGGACGTAATCATAGATGGTATGTCAAAGAGTACCATCTTTTCGTCCATGGATCTGATGGATGGATTTTATCAGATCCTCATGCGTGAACGGAACATCCCGTACATAGCAGTGAGCACCCCCAGCGGTATGCTGTGGGAGTGGCTAGTGATGCCACAGGGGCTGAGCAATGCCCCTGCAACATTCAACAGATGTGTCACCAATCTGTTGAGACCGGTGCGTGATTCCGCACCGAGTTACTTCGACGATGTGTTCGTCCATAGCCGGGCTATGGACGGAAAGACGGACGTTGAAGTTCACAGAGCTCACGTTCGTCAAGTCCTTCAACTTATGCGCAAGCATAAGTTGTATGCCAACCCCAAGAAGTGTATATTCGCGGCTAGCGAAATACCACTTCTTGGGTGCATCGTGGGTACACACGGCGTACGCCCCGATCCCGAGAAGATCAAGGCGATCACCGACGGGCCAGTGTCAGTCGATGTCAAGGGACTTCGGAAGTTCTTTGGTTTATTGGCGTACTTGCACAAGTACTCTCGCAACTACGCCGAGATGACGGTACATCTTTCTTGGTTACTCAAGAAAAATGTCAAGTGGTCATGGAACGCTGAGTGTCAGCGTTCCTTCGAAGGTATCAAGCAAAGCTTGATGCAGTCGCCGATATTGGCGATTGCAGATCAGGACAGACCTTTTCATGTGGTCTGTGACGCCAGCGATTTTGCAATCGGCTGTGCGTTAA